TCCCAGTTGTCTATGCTTCATGCCACGACAGATATCCCGTTATGGGTACTCTTGGAATTACCCAATTGTGCTCCGCTTGCCTTAACTGCATTGCTTTGGCTCCCGCCTAAGTTACGCCCTCTGGACTTGAGCCCTATTCATGCTTCACAGTTCACAAACCTGGGATTCTGTAAAATATTCGGGTAATTTGATTTCATCATTTCTACCTCTTTTTCTGATCACACACAATCCTTTATTTCCGCCAGGCCTAGAACATCCCCCTTCTTTCACTTGGTGGACCTCTCATGGCTTTGTTATTGTACATGATTTTCTGAACGCTCGTACGTTTCCTTCATGGGAGTCTCTTTGAGAATCACGGGGGGTCCCATTGCAGGAACATTATCGGTATTTGCAATTGCGTCACTGGGTCCTATCCATCCGTCGTACTTCTACATACCCTTACCGCAAAACATTCTTTAAACATGTTTGTCAGCACTCCCCAGGGTCTCATTTCTGTAATTTATGCCTCCCTTAACAGTAGGTCCTCCTCACCACCCGTCTTATGTCTCTCAATGGGAGCGAGATCTGGGTGGCTCGATTGCAGCGGAGGATTGGCGTAGGGCCTGGGGGGTATGGTGGCGTAATGTTTAATACAGTCACTCCTGAGGCAGCCTACAAAGTTCTCCTGCGGTGGTACTGGGTCCTGGCTTGGATTGCTCACTTTAATCTGACTGGCGGAGATAGATGTTTCCGGAACTGTGGTCTACGAGGGGACGTCTTACACATTTGGTGGTCGCGCCCGCGATTGACAGGCTTCTGCTCTAGGGTTTTTGGTTTGCTACAAACGCTATTTCACATTACGGTCCGTAGGGATGCAAGAGTGGCTCTTCTGCACTGCCCAAATTTGGGTCTAGGTCTCAGCAGAATTTGGCATCCTACCTATTTATTTCACCAAGCGTGCCATAGCTCAAGCTTGGAGAACCCCTTCGGTTGTCTTCCAAGGAGTGAAGACCCGGATGAATGATATGTTGATCAATGAACAGATGTCTAGCGTTCTTCATGATTCTCATCCGAGATTCCTTAAGGTTTGGGAACCTTGGATACGATATTCCTTGCCATCCTTGCCCCCTACTAGTTATGGCCTCTTGTAGCTGCTGCCTGTGCTAGCCCTGGACCCGTGATTCTCCTAGTCTCCCTTTCCTCTATGTTTTCTGATTTCCTTTTTTTTATTTTTTTGTCATTTTTATTTTATTTTTCCTTTCTTCTAACCTTTTTTCTTTCCTCTTCTCTTTATGGTATTATGTTGGACTACTGCTGATAATATTTGGTTTGGCTTTTTGCCGTCCTTCCTCACTGTCATTGGACATTTTGTTATTTGGCTAATACAAGTCCGCAGGATGCATCTGTTTGTGTTGTTATGCTCGGCCCCTGCGTGGGCGTATATTGAGCTTGTTGTGTTCCTAAAACAAAACTTTCTTAATAAAAATATTGAAACAGAAATAAATGGAGGTCTGCCGGGAATCCCTCTTAGAATGGTGCTGGAAGCAGCCCAGGATGGATGAATATCATCAGGGTTTGTAGGGTAGTAATTCAACCGGAGGTCCCCTTTAAGGACACGGGTGCAGCCTCTTCAGTGTACTGGGAAGGTCACCAGGGAAAGCTCTTATTTTTATCTGTGTATGCAGCACTTCTGGTCCAGCCGCCTAGGCGATGTCGTCATAAGGTGCTTCCCATGGACTTCTGGGATATCGTCGTTATCTATCTTAGGAGTCCAAGCAAGTTTACAGAGGGGGTGACCAGGTGAGAGGGCAAATGTGACCCTAGAGGGACTCAGCCATGACTGTATCTATGTACTCCTGTCCAGTACACAAAGTCCTCCGTCCCAGCACAGGGGCTTTCAGCAGACTGCTGAAAGGAAAATAAAAAATTACAAAAAAATAAATAAATAAATTTTGAACACAAAAGTGTCATTTAAATAATTTATTGCTCACACATGCCATAGGTATATGTGGAATTACTCCCCAAAATACATTCTGCTACTTCTCCTGAGTGTGGGGGTACCACATGTGAAAGACTTTTTGGTAGTCTAGCCAAGTACAGGACCCCAAAATCCAATAAGCATTCAGGCTTTTAAAGGGCTTTCTTTCCCATTACACTTCCTGACTACCTATCACGGTTTTGGAGGCCCTGAAATGCCAGGATAGCACCAAACCCCACCAAATGACCCCTTTTTAGAAAGTAGACACCCCAAGGAATTTGATAAGAAGCACGGTGAGTATTTTGCAGATCTTGTTTGTTGCCTCAGGCTTTTGGAAAATGAGGAAAGAAAAAACATATTTTTTCTTTTCTTTTTTTATATTTCAAAACCTTGTGAGAAAAAATGACATCTGCTAAATACTCACCATGCCTCTTTTTAAATTCCGTGGGCTGTCTACTTTCCAAAAAGGGGTCATTTGGGGGGGTTTGGTGTTATCCTGGCATTTCAGGGCCTCTGAAACTGTGATAGGTAGTGAGGAAGTGAAATTACGCACCTTCAGGCTTTCAAAGTGGTCATTGGATTTCAGGCTCCTGTATGTGGCTAGGTTCCCAAAAAGTCTCACATATGTGGTATCCCTATACTGAGTAGAAGTAGCAGAATGTGTTTTGGGGTGTAATTCTACATATACCCATGGCTTTTGTGAGCAATATATAATTTAAGTGACAACTTTGTATAAAAAAAAAAAAAATAAATAAAAACTGTTTTTGTCATCTTCCAAAAACTTGTGGAAAAAAATAAATCTTTCATGGACTCAATATGCCTCTCAGCAGATGTCTTAGGGTGTCTACTTTCCGAAAAGGGGTCATTTAGGGGTATTTGTACTATCCTGGTATTTCAGCACCTCAAGAAATGTGATAGGCAGTCAGAAAGTAAAAGCTGTGTAAATTTCATTATCTATACCAGGGGTGGGCAAACTTTTTGACTTGAGGGCCGCAATGGGTTCATATACTGGACCCAGGGGCCGGACCAAGAGTAGATGAATGATGTATATGTGTCATCCATAGTAAGTATAGTAATATTCCCCCATAGTAAGCATAGTAATTAATCCCCAAATAGTAATTCATCCCCCATAGTAATTCATCCCCCATATAGTAATTCATCCCCCATATAGTAATTCATCCCCCCTATAGTAATTCATCCCCCCTATAGTAATTCATTCCCCATATTAAGTCCCCAAGTCCCCCCTGTGTCAATTCACTTACCTTTGCTCCGCGCGTTCCTCTCGCCGTGTTCCCACGCCGTTCCGGTGTAGCATGAAAATCTGTCTCCTATGAGGATCTGTCCCCCTCGACGTATCTGCGCATGTGCCAGTTTCAGGCATTAGCAGCCGATCGGCGATCTCCGGCACATGCGCAGATACATCGAGGGGGACAGATCCTCATAGGAGACAGATTTTTATGCTACACCGGTCTTCAGGGCGGACTGTGAGAGGAGCCTAGCAGGAGCCTAGCTCCGCGGGCTGGATTAAAAGGTCCGCCGGGCCGTATACGCCCGCGGGCCGTAGTTTGCCCATTGCTGATCTATACCATAGTTTGTAGATGCTATAACTTTCACACAAAGCAATCAATATACACTTACTGGGATTTTTGTAAACAAAAACATGTAGCAGAATACATTTTGGCCTAAATTTATGACGAAATTTGAATTTTTTGGATATTTTTTATGAGAAAATATTGTTTTTTCTTCAAAATTTGTTTTTTTTTTTTGTTTATAGCGCAAAAAAATAAAAACGCACAGGCGATTAAATACCACCAAAAGAAAGCTATTTGTGTGAAAAAATGGACATAAATTTCATTTATGTACAGCATTGCATGACTGCGCAATTGTCAGTTAAACCAGTGCAGCGCTGTATAGCAAAATATGGCGTAAATTGCACTATTTATACCATAGTTTGTAGACGCTATTATCAGTTGAAATAGTGCAGTGCCGAACAGCAAAAAAAGGCCTGGTCAGGAAGGGGGGTAAATCCTCAGGAGGGCAAGTGGTTAAACTTCTACGCAGTGTGTTAGCAATGGGCTGGGGGCAAAGTTAAAAACATACGTTCAACGAAGACTGGGTCCAAATTTGAGTCACCACTAAAGGTTCACAAAATGTTTTAGTGACAGAAACTTATAAAGTGCTAAACCAATAGTTTATGGTACCTAATAGGTTATCGCATATTAAACCCATCAATCCACCCAACTGCTTTCGTAGCTGCTCAGACATAGGAACACTTTTTCATACCTGATGATCAAGGCATGTAGTTCACAGGCTGTTGTCACAAGTGTACAAAATCTTATGTAGTCTTTTGCAGCAAACACTTACTAAGAACCCGTATGAAGCTCTTCTAAAGAGGAAAACCCCCATTATTTCAAAGCACTAATTCACACGTATGACTCATGTTCTAACAGCTGCAAAACAGACAATTGCAAAAGCATAGCTTTCAGAGACCCTATAGGTGCCAGAGGTTAATTCCAGAATACAATGGACATTACTCAACGAGAAATTAACAGCTAAATTGCATGGCTCCATGCCAAATTCCACAAGGTCATGGGATCTATGGGTTACTCACTACTTACCAGATGATTTTGATTGCCACCTTCTTGAACTGTGATGTGTGCTATTCCCAGGTATCCCTGCATACAACAGCTGAGAACAATCCCTGGCGAAATCCTTCTCTCCTCCCTTCCCATTTTACTTACCTATTATACCTGATCCCCTCCTTATCCTCTCAATTCTTCCCCTTTCTCCCTATTCAACCTCTCTACCTTTGCTCTTTTTTATTCTTTTTGGTGCTTTCATTACAGTGGAATCTCATGATACTAACTGTTGTTTGTATATGTGTCAATAGACAATCAAATAGTCATATTGTTAACCTGCAAATTTTGCGACTCTTGACTATGAAACCTCTCTATTCTTACCTACCTAAAAAATCTCTAATAAGAGAATGAACAAGAAAAACAGAACTACAGAACATTAGTAAAATTCATGTGTTTAAACTTACTGCTAACAAGCTCATGTCCATTTCTCCGCTTTTCATTAAAAATTCACAAATTTGCTCATTCTGAAGAATTTCTCTAGAAATGTACTTGCAATGATCAATATTACTGTTGCCATACTTGCAAGTCATTAATGATGTAAAATCTGGACCTTGACAATAAAGATCAAATGCTTCTTCTGCACCAAGACTTGGACCTGAAAATAAAAAAAAAATCCTTTCCGGTTAGGTATTTATTGTGAAAAGTATATCAACCGACAGCACAAATATTTTATTTTTTCAAGCAGCAGATTCACCATTGAAAAGCAGCAAATTTCCCAAACTCATCTGTCCTACTGTAGCAATGGTATCTTCTTGAGATGTTTGATGTCCAACCATACAAAAAGTTCTGTTGCTGTCAGATGAAAGGCTTCCTTTCCGCGGAGGATTATATTCTAAAGTAACTTCGGCTTTCCTGTTATAAAAAGTGAAGTTAAGAACACACTAAAGAAAATTAAATATGAACAAAAACATACTGCCTGCATTGATACTTTCCAAATGTATAGAATGGATAGTATTATTTTATGAGCTGCCTGTGTACTTTCAACAGGTTACTGCTTTTCATGGTCATTTACCCTATTAATTGCAAAACTAGCATGTGACAAGTCCCCTTTAGTCATTTACATGATAAACACTTTTAGCTTCCAGTTCTCCAGTTGTAAGTCAGCAAAATATAGGAAGAACTTGGTATGGCCGATTCCCATCAATATGACGGCCTTTTTTCCACCCCTTGAACATCATTCAACATGGCATTAGTGTAATACATGTTCACAATCACAATTTTAATGCAGTCACATACTCAGTAAGTGATCAGCATCCAGCTGTGTCATGGAAATTTTGTATTTTTGGTTGAACTTTAAATGTGTTATTCATATGTCTCTCGTGTGGCTTAATTAAAGCTCTGAAGGCTGCAATTGGGCCATGCGCATGTACAATGTATGTATTACAGTACTCAGCTCTGTAATGGATGAGATGGCAGATCTGCGCTTATAGACCGGCGTGTATACCACCACGGTATTCGATGCGAATGCCGCCGGCGGTAGGCCGCGGGCCTGTATCCACATAGCAGCAGCATAGTACCACATGGACTCCGTACCGCAAGGCGCCAAGCAGTGCGAACTCCGCGTGTAGGCTCATGTATATCTTACAAGCCATTACCAACCTGAAACTGTATCTGGACGGATGTGTTTTAATAAAGATTGTATCGGGCCCATTCAGATATAGACACTGTTTAACCTAAGGGATGCTTATACAGAGAATTTACATACCACTAGGAGCTAGAACAGGAAGTCTGCTCTCCATAGAGGGCTCATGGGGGAGGACCAGTGATAGATAAAAGGAAAGGCTATGCTCCAATCGGAATGTACATCCCGTGTATAAGCACTCCCCATTGCATTGTTCTGTGGGAGGGGATTGACCTTATTCATGTGGGGGGCATGTGTGTGTTTGTAATAAAACCAGAGGCTGAGAATGAAAACGTCCTCTATGTGAATTCCAACAGCAACCTGAGAGTGTCGTGTGATCATTCCTGGGTATAGGGAGCTCCATTTCCTTACATCTCAACAGAGCTAAAGCAGTTGGAGGGGCAGGAATTGTGTAGTTTAGCTGAAGTCGTGGTAAGCGAGATTCGCACAGCTTTATGGGGGATTTCTGCGCATCCAACTGCGAGTACTCACGGTAAGGAGAAATTCGTTTAAAAGCGAATTTCCAAGACAGCTGCAGTCTATATACTCTTTCACTGATGTTTTACTTTAATATTTAGCATCAGCACCATTTACTTTGTTTTCTCAAAGGTTTAATGTGTAATATCAGCTTCAAAAATATAAATAAACATATAAACCAACTTTAAACCCTTTGTTTCTAGACGTACATGTTTCACAGTATGAAACTACACACCATGGCAGAAATACAAGCAGAAAACATACTCCCAAGTCTCATAATCAATTCAGCTTTAAATATAGCGATGTCACCTATAACCCTGAATACTACTGCTTCTTACAATCACAAGTCTTCACAAAACAAGAGAAAGGTTATATATCTCAACAATATCGAAAACCTACAACATACCTTTGTCCAGAGACCCACATCAGTATTTTGCTGTAGACTTTATTCTTACTTTCGGACAGCTCTTTGTAAGTGAAAGCCAAATGCTGCCAATTTCCAGGATGGAAAATGTTTTCTTGTGTTTCAAATTGTGCCAGAAGGATGCATTTTAAATCATCATTTACATGTGTGCACATCCTGCAAAATGGAGAACAACATTTTACCATCATAAGAGATTCAAATTTTTGCACTTCATCAAAATACCTCATCAGTGGATTGTTTTTAAATCCTATTAGATTAACTGCTTTATAGTTCTGCAAAGCCTAATGTCAAACAATCTGAACATAATAAAAATACAATTAAACACAGTTTTCTTACAGAGTGCATATTTTACATTGTCATTGCAATGTTAAACTCAGTCATTTTATGTAGTGAAAAGAACACCAGATGCCCATATAAAACTGAAACATTAACATCTGGCAAATTTGCTTTAACTGTATCGGGGACAGAGAAGAATAATTCTTAAGCTGGCCATACACAGGGAATTTCACTCTCTGGGTAGCCCTGTTGGCACCCTTCCACCTGAGATCCTTTGATTCAAAAAACCCAGGCAGAATGTAGTCAGTCAACCAGCACCTGCATCCAATAAAGTGCAGGCATTGTATCGGTATTTGGACAGCCGATCATAACAGTGGGAGATATATCCATCCACATTGCATGGATGGAGAAAGTCTGTTAGATTCTGCAGGTTGAAGGAAAAAGGATATTTGTGTGTATGGCCATCTTTACTCTAGCAGGCCTGCCAAGAAAACTACATTAACTTTAAAACTGGGTAAATTCTGGCATTCCCCACATACAAATTACTTAGAACCCCCAAACATTTTTTCTAAAGCAGAGACCCTGGAGAATAAAATGGCAGTTGTTGAAATTTTTTATGTTGTACAGATTTGTGCAACCATATTTCATACACAAATTTTCAGAAAGAATATACACTTTGGTAAAATATAAAAGATGTTATGCCGAGTATATAAACACTTAACATGACATGCTTTAAATTTGCAAAAGCCAGTGAAATATCAACTAACGTAAATTAAAATATCTACAGGCAATGATTTAAAAGCTTTTAAAAAAGTTACCAGTTTAAACATAAGGCGTGGCACCAGAATTAATGCCCTCAGACATTCGTGGTGATATTTGTAATACGATGACCCCATATGGAAGAAAAATATATTTTAAAAATATTCTTCCCAAATATATTGATATATATTTGAAATGCTACAATTTTGGCCATATTCAAAACACACACAATGTTGAAATGCGTTTTTATTACAAAACATATGAAAAATATTTTTAAAAATACATTTCAAATATACTGTATCTCTTTAAAAATACAAATCTACATTTTTGGAATGCATTTACAAATATATGTTCAGATTTTTAACATATAAAAATGTTAAAAAAAATCTGAACATATATTTTTACATATATTTGTAAATGCATTCCAAAAATTTAGATTTAGATCTTTAAAGACATACAGTATATTTGAAATGTATTTTTAAAAATACTTTTCATATGTTTTGTAATAAAAACGTATTTCAACATGCAAAAAAAAAAAAAAAATATATATATATATATATATATATATATATATATATATATATGTATATATAATTTTTTTTTTTTCTATTTTATTTTTTTTTAAATATTGAATATGGCCGAAATCGTAGTTTTTCAAATATATATCAATATATTTGGGAATAATATTTTTAAAATATATTTCAAATATATTTTAATTCCATGTGGGACTGTTTACAAATACATGTGGGACCTGCATACACTAAAATGCCAAAAGTATTGGTACATCTGCCTTTATAGACACATGAACTTTATTGGCATCCCAGTCTTAGCCGTAGGATTCCATATTTAGTGGGAAGGCTGTCCACAAGGTTTAGGAGTGTGCCTATGGGAATGTTTGACCATTCTTCCAGAAGCACATTTGTGAGGTCAGGCAATGATGTCGGACGAGAAGGCCTGGTTCGCAGTCTCCGCTCTAATTCATCCCAAAGGTGTGTTCTATTGGGTTGAGGTCAGGACTCTGTGCAGGCCAGTTAAGTTCCCCCCACCCCAAACTCGCTCATCCACGTCTTCATTGACCTTGTTTTGTGCACTAGTTCGCAGTCATGTTGGGGCCATACCCAAACTGTTCCCACAAAGTTGGGAGCATGAAATTGTCCAAAATGTCTTGGTATGCTGACGCCTTAAGAGTTCCTTTCACTGGAAATAAGGGGGCTGAGCCCAACCCCTGAAAAACAAATCCAAACCATAATCCCCCCTCCACCAAACTTTACACTTTGCACATAGAAGTCAGGCAAAAACCGTTCTCCTGGCAAGAACTTCTGTTACTTGCTCTCTTTTGGTCTCTATAATATACCATTAAGTGCTTTGTTGCATCTGTCCAAAAAAAAAAAAAAACAGTTTTAAAATGGTTTTGTAAACAGCAGCTGTAACAGGGTACCAGTAGGAGTGCAAGCAGCCAACCGCCAGCAATAAGACCAGGAGCTGAAGACCACACCCAAATAAAGAGGAAATATATATAATGTTTATATATATATATTATATATATGTTAAATATCGTGACACTTATATTATTTAAGTGTCTGTCTTTAGGCGTTTGAGGCAAAATTGTTCTAGTGCCAGGCTGACTTAAAACAGTGTGACTTTATTTAATGCACACTTGGCATCAAAAATGAATACAAAAGATAAAATAAAATACAGAGTAAAATATAACAAAAGTTGTATATTATGGAAAAAGAAATAAGCTTTGGAGAAATGTCTAATCTCTTGTCTGTTCTATGACAAGTGTTTCAGTCTCGGCAAGGAAGACAACAGGTGTATCAAGGCTTTGCAGGCCTTACCAGGAGACAAATATGTCAGTGCGTGTCAGCTGTATAATGTCTTGATGTATGAGTGTGAGTGAGTGTATGTGTCTCTCTATCTCTAAGGCACATGTTATAATATATTTTACCAGGCCAACCCACTAAACAGTTATTTCCTAATTCAGTGTGAGCTAAATAAGTAAAACCCTTATTTGTGCTTCTTCTAAACATATACTCTTAGTGTCCATATATGTAAACCTTCTAAACTATACTTAGTATGACGTTATTTGAAAACCTCTTAGAAGACAGAAATATATATGATACTGTCATCTGATATAATGGCTTCACATATCTTTAGAAAGGATAATGGTCACATAAATGCATAGATATAACCAACAATAATTGATACTAAACTTATCACACACACTATTCCTAACTAATAAATTGATTATATGAAATAATTATCCAACTAACTATATTATGGATTAGACATGATTTTCTTTATAAAAGACATATATCCTTTCTTTGTTCTACTGCATACCAATATCTTTTTACATTCCAATTGCTATTCTTAAAACTAAGCTTATGACCTGCTGACCTCTTAGACATGAATATACCATGGTTCATCTTTAACACCTGTTTTCTAAAGCTTCATTCACACGTGAAGTTAAAATTACTTCTAAATGACTTTTGCTGTCATTATGAAAGATATGAGACGTCTGTTTTAAGCTACATAATTTCTACAATATTCCCCCTAAATATAATTTATCATATAATATTATATATACATTCATACTTCATTCATGGCCCAACTATACACGCTCTGAATCAGTTGTTCCAGATGCACCATTTTCTAATAACCAGGTCAGTTAAGTCAGAGGTAACCTTCCTTCTAATAATACCTGACAGGATTATTTTTTTCACCTTCTTTCATTTGTTTCTTAATCAATTTGTAAAATCGTTTTCATTCTAATCATAATACAGATTTGAAATAAAATACATAAAAATCATAATAATAAATATAATAATTAATGGGTGTAATAATATATTTCCAACAGCTGCTGTTACTGAAGTTTTTCCCCACATTGATACAGTATTTTAAATTTGACCACCATGAACGACCTGAAAATTCAGACCAATCATGTTCTATCTCTATAGATTTCCTTGTTCATGCTTAAATATTATTTCTGCTTTCTGAAGTTCTTCAGACAAAGCAATTAATAAATCCCTTTTCCTTTTGTATGATCTCTGCCCATTCCTTCCATGGAAACTAATCTACTTGAGATATATTATATATTGTATAGGTAGAACACTCACATTTTTCGTAAGTATATTAGTTAAATTTACTCTAATTTCATTTAAACTAATTCCTGTAAAGATCTCCTTCTATACAATACAAGCCTCGACTCAGGATATCTGTATGTGTGCAGGATAGGAAGAAAGCTTTCACTGTTTCAGTGTCTGTCATGACTTGAAAACAGACTTTTCTCTTTCCTACAACAGTGACTACGGTCAAGTGAAGTTTTTACTTTTTCTATTCTTGCTGTACATAATGAATGATTATGAAAACAAGAGTGAAAAATACTTTTGTCCTGATTAGGCAAACATATTACTTTTGATTGAAAATGTAAACAAGAAGATAAATCTAATTGTTCTGGTTTCAGATGTATTAGTATCCAAAGCAAAATCTACAAATTGTAATTGATAATATAACAACTGGGTATTACTAACTGGCAATCCTAAGACTGTAACTGGAACTAACATTTGTTCTTTCCCAGCAATGGGAATCATTGAGGTACCAAAGCATTCATGTTGATTACATCCTACCCATTTATTTACCCATAAATCTGTATGATTTTTTTGCAAATACATATTCATTAGGTAAACTTTGCAAAAGACTTAGAGGAGTTATGCCACTTTGGAATGCTTTGTGCAATTATTTTAAAATTGGTAGAATACTCTGTCTGTATTTCTAGACATGTTTCTGGCTATGTGGGAATGTTGTTCTCTGTCCATTAAATTCAAAGTAACATCTTGTAAGTGGACTACAGCTGGGCCTATAACCGTAGCTGTCTTCATTAACATATTTTTCTAATATTTGATTTACATTTCTTTGAACTTTAATACTTTTACTACCCCCACTAAGCCCGCTGTTTCCAGATCAGACTGTAATGTATTAATATCCATACTATTGGTAATATTCCAATAGTACCAATTTCCACCTAAAATTCCTTCTATGATACCTCGTTTATTCCTATTGTTATTTTTATTATTAGCTCCAAACCATTTATCCATACCCAATTCCATATTAATTAAGTATTC